TCATAAGTTGCCAGAAATGGTTTAAATATGATGTGCCAGTGCTTAAGATTAACTCACTCTTACATACCTACATAAAATTGAAATTTATCTTCTGATTAAATAAATCAGTGGTTTCTTTGTTTCTTTAAAACAATATATCATTTCTTTCATAAATTTGTGATACTAGAAAACAACTTGGTTTTAGCCACATACTTCGCCTTCGATCATGGGCAATGTCAGCTCGTCCTTGGACGAATATCCAACTTTGTACATAAAGAATTCAGATCGATGTGAGTAGCGTGACCGTTGGTAAAGCTTTGATTCTTTGCTGACGTAGTATGGAAAGTAGAACAGAGTCACAGAACTCGTTCATTAATCTGACTTGTTCACTGTCTCAAGTTCGAATCACAGAAATCGCAGTTTCGACATCTGTCCACGATCCATACATAACGTTTCCCGTCACATCAACAGGTATCACCGCGATTCCTAAAACAGTCGAGCTACTAGAGTTCATACAAGATCCATATGTCAAGTCAATATCACCAAACAGGTTTTTGCTTAAACTGGCAAAAGATAAAAAGCTAGAGTTAAAGTTCAAAATCAGTATTGGAAAGGACGAAGCAAATAAAACTGATGTGAAAGGTCTCACATTTATCAATGCTGCAGGCGAAAAGGAGTTGGAAAGGATATTAACTGTAGAGTTCAATGATGATCCTAATGTAAGTGAATGTGTACGAACTATATTTAATGGGACTTTTAGTAATGTCAAACATCCATTGGATTGTCATCAAAGTTGGATCATGACACTAAGTTACATGAATGAAGCCATTAATTCATTGACCAAACGTTTTATTATAACTTGTCGGATATCATTCTTTTTAATCATCTATTCAGCTTCATAAGCATCCTAATGTGACGCTGGTTGGAAATTACGAGGTTAATGAAACTCAAACAGAGATAGAATGGACGTGGATGTGGTCACCTCCTCATAATATTGATGAGGTTTATCGTGGTTGGAGAAATTACTGCTGTGTAAGTGTTGCGATTTTACAAATCTACGAATCACAATAATTGTTTAATTTATAAGTTCACATCCACATTAGTTTTCCGAGTATGACGCAAAAGATAACACGTTTCAATTATTGGCAACTTTCACGTTTTGGGTCGCTGGTACGATGGATAAATCCCTTTCTAACTATATAATTATCTTTTGTTAACCAGCTGGTTTAAATTTGCAGCAAATACACGGAATCATTACCATCGCGCCTCAAAGAGCTTTGAATCCATTGATGGAATATCGTATTTGATGTCTAGTGGCACTGGTACCTCTTCCACACTTCCATCATCCACATCTACACCGTGGTCACCAAGCCTTCCACGTAGTATTCGTCCATCAAGTCCAGAAAATGTGTACCTCCCAGTACCCGGCATATCGTCGGGAGCTTCATCCGCTTCAAGCGGTGGTAGGCGATCATCGGATGACGTAATGTTCCAACATGAACCCGAAGATGGGCCATTGTTTCGGGCAACATTGTCTTCTTACGAGAAGAAAACCGGTTCGCTGAAGCAAAGTATAAAAAGAGTGCTGAAGGCTGCTACTGCTTATCATGACACTATCATGGATAATAACGAGGCCGATGACGAATTCATATGTGCGTTACGAGCAGCTGCTCAGATACATCCACAGGCATTTCAACCTATTCTAGATAGCTATCTCGAAGAAGTTTCCAAGAAAATCACAGGATTCAGGGAAAGTTTTGCAAACCAAATGTCTAACTTATTGATAGAACCTCTTAGGAAAATGTATGAAAATGACATTAAAGTTGCTGAAAGCAAAAAGAAAGATTTTGAGGAGGAATCTCGTGATTATTATCAGTTCCTTTCCAAGTATTTATCTTTGAAAGTGGATACCGCGAAAGAAAAGAAAAAACTTGAAACTGATTCGAAATATCAGAACAAACGAAAAAATTTTGAATTGAAGCGATTCGATTATTACGCTTATATGCAAGATCTGCATGGAGGTAGAAAGGATCAAGAAATTTTATACCATTTAACGAATTTTGCTGAAAAACAATTTGCGTTCTATCAACAAACTTCAACGGGCATACAAAGTCTAAAACCGGCGTTGGATAAATTAGCAGTTTATCTAGCTGAAACAACAAAAGAAATACATTTGATGAGAAAAGAAAGGGAAGAAAGACGTCGAGCACTTGAGACTCGAACAGCGACTATGGGTCCTTTTACAAGCGAGACTTTTAACGAGAGTGAAAATTCTAACCTGTTAGTCGGTGATGCGAATGATGGTATGGAGAGTCAACCTTCAAACACGGTTGGGTTACTAAGTACAACGCAGAATCGGTTCAAGGGGATCCGAGATTTGGAGCATCATGACTCTGAGTCAACTTCGACCGCGGGCAGGAGGAAGGAAGGTTTCTTGTTTGCTACATCGCGAGCAACACAGCACGGATCCGTCGACCCTATTTCTAAGACAACTTGGCACAAGTATGATATATTTAACTTTTGAATAGAAGTTCTTATTGCTATTATCTTTATTTTTGTATAAATACAGTGAGAACTCAAGTGATAAAATTGATGTTTTATAGATATTGGTGCGTTTTAGCTGGCGGCCAACTCTGTGAGTACAGTAATTGGAAAAAACAGCCCGAAACTCACAACGAACCAATCAATTTACGATTTGCAACTGTAAGGGAAGCTAGGGGTGCTGATCGAAGGTTTTGTTTTGAAGTGATAACTCCTCAATTTCGACGTATATATCAAGCAACCTCGGCCGAAGACATGAATTCATGGATTACCGTCATTTCGAATGCGATCGAGAGTCTGCTCAATGGAACAAGTAGTTGTCGTAATTTAGATCAAGTCTTGACTCAAGATAGCAATGTCAATGGTGGTGGAAATTTTTTCACCAAAAAAGGCCTTCATCGGAGAGGAACACTACCCAGTCGTTCGGAAAAAAAGAAAACCGATGTTAAAAAAGGGACAACACCTGCATCTGGGGGTGATCAAACAATATATACTCAATCAGAAGGACAGATTCGTCAAGAATTGGAAGACAACGACAAATCAGCAAAAATTCTAGAAGCTATTAAAGGAGCTGATGTTTCAAATGCATCGTGTGCTGATTGTGGTGCGCGGAAGACAGAATGGTGTTCAATCAATTTGGGAATTGTGTTATGTATAGGTATGCTAATTATGATATTGAAATTCTCATAGAACTTGAATTTTTAATGATTCATATTTTCATCTCAGAATGCTCTGGGATTCATCGTAGTCTGGGCACGCATATCTCCAAGATCCGGTCACTTACTTTAGACACGACCTCTTATACACCCGATCTTATTCAATTAATAAAGTCAATTGGAAATGCGCGTTCTAATGCAATTTGGGAGGCCACACTTCAGTCACCCGATAAACAACTTGAGACGGAAACACCATCAACGGCAAATGTTCCTTCGAAAAAACAAGAAGAAACCGCAGAGCCTCTGGATTCTGATTGGGTAGAACTTATAAATATGATAACACCGTCAGTTAAAGCCTCTTCGGCACCATCGTCTTCGACTCCCTCTCCAACACCGTCTCCCACCCCTAAAGTTGCAAAAGGAATGCACAAACCATCAAGCACCGACTCTCGAGAAATCAAGCAAAAGTTTATCACGGCAAAGTATGTCGATAGGGTTTTTGTTGATACATTACTTGTGGATGAAGACAGGACAGCAACCGATCTTCTTTTTGAAGCTGTGAAGATTAATGACTTACCTCAGGCAATGCAGGCCATTGCATTGAAGGCCGACATAAATGCTGCTCGCAGATTTGAGGTAGCCGATGATCATGGTCTGAAAACACCGTTGTTATTGGCCTTACTCCATATCGATGATTCCTTGATGATTGTAGAAGGTGGTAGGACGTTATTTCCAATGGCCGAATTATTGATACAGAACGGAGCCCACGTCGAGAAAGTGTTATTCGATAACCTTGAAGAGACTCTTGGCGTCGTATCTCAGCCGATCACACGAGGTTCGGCGAAAAGTGTTGGCACCTGGGCAGCCGAAGTTGTCAATGACATGAAGAAATCAGGCAAAACCGTTTTTGATGTTGTACAATCAAATGGCAATATAGCGGCGATAAGATATCTCACACCAAAGGTACTCGCTAGGGGACCTATATCCGATTTGAATGCCAATAGTTCGAGTTCTTCGGTATCCACAACAAGCACTGGAGGCGTGGTAGGTGGATCCGTAATCGAAAGAAAACCATCGCCAACATTGGGCCGATCGATATCAGTTTCATTTAAAAACGCCCTATTGTGACAGGTTCACAATAGAATAATTATAAATCTTCGTTTTAATTCACATTTTATTAATTAATTTCATGCTCTTCGGTTGTGGGACAATTTTGGGTCCTTGTGATAGATGTAAAATGTAAAAAAAACAATTTAAGCAAATCAGCAAATCACACTTATCCATGCATAATTTTCATAAACCAAATATTTAATATGTTCGAATTCATTAATATGATATATTATTTGTACTTTTATAGGTGATGAGGGTAGCAATTATAATATAATGCTTAATAAAATCTTGAGATTTTCAGGCATTATAAAAGCACTGATTGAGTTGCGGAAGTTATCGACTTTACTAATTTTACCTTTAAACCTAACATACAGGACATTTGTAATAATAATTGCTATTTAGTCTTCGTATGCGTATTTGAAGCGTCATCTGAATTGAATATAACCTATCCGCAAAAAGTCAAATTAAGGATTTCATACGCGATGTAATAATATATCAATCTTGTATGATTAATGACGTAATTATTATATACTTCCATTAGTGACAAACCTCCAAAGTATTCTCTGTTTCCAAATATCTACCTGAATTCCAAAAGATGAAAGCGCTCGTTCTGCATGGATCCAAAAAAGGAAAGCCCATTGTTTCATTTGAAGACAAAGATTTGAGAGAGTTACCGAATGGTTATGCACGTGTGCGAATTTGCGCCGCGGCTTTAAATCATCGCGGTTAGTAATCATCGTGATTTCAGGTTCTGTTTATGTACCTTTTGAGAATTTTTGTGTTCTTTTGATCATCTAGACGAATGGATTCGTCAAGGACAATACCCTGAAGTTGAAGGAGATTTTGTTTTAGGGAGTGATGGTAAAAACAAATTACGCGAATCTTTTTCCATGATTATACGGAAATTTACTCTATTTTCTTTTCTCTCACAGGATGTGGTTTAGTTGAGGAAATTAAAGACGAACAATATCATAACCTTCTTGGTAAAGTAGTCATTATTTATCCTGGATTAGAATGGGGAATGGATGAACGCACTAGTTCACGTGACTTCGGAGTCTTGGGCGGCCCGAACGATGGAACTTTTGCTGAATATGTTATTGTACCAGCTGAGAATTTGGTACTAAAGCCTGCGTTTCTGACTCCTGAGCAGGCCGCAGCTATTCCAATTGCCGGCCTGGTAGTGCCTTATTATTACTTTATTTTTGCAAAATATATTTTCTTCGCCAAAATAAATACAAATATCTTTCAAATATTTATCAAAATTATTGGATAAGACTTCATATCGCGCTTTGACATCTCGCGGTGGACTTCAAGCTAACGAAGCTGTTTTAATCACTGGCGGAGGTGGGGGATGTGGCTCATTCTTGATACAATTTGCTCAAAAGATTGGCGCAAAAGTATACTTTACAACCGGTGATAAAAAAAAGTTGGAATTTTTGGAACATAACATGGGTGCTAAAGGATTCCTATATACTGATCCTAATTGGATCGAGAAAATAAAAGAAATGAGAAAGGACGAATCACATGATGGTGTATTCGATTTGAT